AAGGATAACTACTGCACAAATGCACTAAAATTTAAAAGAAAAACTGTCTCGAATTCAAATGCAATGTAAGAGAGAAAGAATAATAATCAACCAACCAAATCATGCAATTACGACCAGTTCGATCTGCGCTCTATGTACTCTTCTCTTGATTGGCCAATGTGAAAATTTCAAGGTTATTTCAGTTTTCAATGAATAGATTTCAGTTTTCAGAAATGTCGTAATATGCATAATGATAACTCCACCACTGACTTACAAACCTCAGTGCAGTAGATTCCGAGAAGTACAAGCTCCTGTGGATATTAGATAGCCTGGAAGAGAAGCAGTGTCATAAATAAAGACAAAAAGTATACTGACATACTTCCTTTTACGGTAGTGCCACCTTTTAAGGAGCAGATATGAGTCTTGAGTCATATTCAGCAGTTTCGTTAGAAAAACACTTCCAGCATACCTTGACATAACTGTGTCATGAAGTCTCCATCTTGACTTCGAAACATGGAAAAATTAATCTTATAGTTTCATAACAGGAAAGCACCACTGGTAAAATTTTCCGGTATTCTAAAGTGTTTAGTGGTTAGGGCTAGTAGGTAATAATTCGTAACCCAGAGTCAGTCTTCGAATTTCTGTGATTTTCAATTAAAGTCAATTGTCCTGACTGCTGTAGACTTGTCAAACGAAATTGAGGAAGTCACATTAGTTTATTCAGGAAGAATACAGGATTTGTTGCAGGTTAGTGGCGTTGCTATGACTTGCACACCTATGTAATATTCCACTAGGTTGACAAACCCTTTAGAGAAAAGGATATTATTCTGAAGGGTTGAGATCTAGAGGGTGAGTACACTAAAAATAGATGAGAATATTGAATATATGAAAAGTAAAGAGACAGTGGACACACATATATAGGAAGTGAAGGATAAGAGAAATAGATAGAAATAGTGTCTAAATATACAATAATTTATTGAATTGCGTAAAGATAAGTTTGGATGAACAGGATATTTGCAATTTTAGCACAGTCCCCAAAAGCTAATCTGCTTTATCTGTAGCGGTACTCAAATTCACTGTTGTGGCTCGATTATCTAGCCTCTTCCTGAAACTCCAGATTGGTGTTGTGGTGGGCAGTAAATTCTATGGGTAGTGAACCTGAGGGTAAGGGCTTTAGCTCTCACCTTTGTCATAGCTCAGTGACCAGCATTTCCGTTAGGGATACATCGACGTGTACTTTAGTGGCAATGTAGCCTATGCACGATTTTGTATGACGTGGTCAGATAACCCTTTGCTCTGAAGCAGATAGAGCTGTACTGATCTGAATGTTGTAATCATTCAAAAAGTTGTTGGCATTTCAGCCTGATGATAGTTATCGCAATCCTCATTCAAGAGCCGCAGATAATGCTATATCGCTGTCTTCGTACTGCATTAACTTGTGTAATGTACGCATTACACTTATAAGTTCCTTTTTGAAAATAAAGACCGACAAGTGTTGCGCTTGATACTCGGTAAGATTTTCTTTATTATTCTTCCTGGATTGTTGATGTGCACGGTCAGTTTAAGTAAGGTGTATACGAGTTGGGGTGTTGCATTAATTTGGTATCAATTGCCGAAATGTAACGTGGATTGCTGAAAGCGTGGACAAAGTCCGGAACCGGTGTTTCAGACAGCGAAGCTTCCTTTACTGACCAAAACTTGGTTCTCAATGGCTACTGTATCTACTACAGCACAATTATGGGTGCGACAGCTTAGTTTTAAACGTTATTTGACGGGTATCCCTGGGGCCGTATCAGTTATCAAAGCTATAAAATATAAGAAAAATGAGTGAAAGATGCAGTTAAAAAATCACCTAAAGTTTTTTCGGCTTTATGTTTGTTCGTACGAATTTTTGTCCCTGCAAAATTCTCGCGGCTGATCATGAAATAATAGCTTAGCCTACGTTCGCGATATGTAAAAGAGATTATCAACTGCGTAATGCTATTGATCGTAACATCTGGATTACCAATTTTGGTTTACATTGCAGGAATGTCCATGATCTTCAATATACGAACTGGTTTCGTTCTCACCGGAGGTCATAATCCCTGCCACGCTTTAACTTCTGCTGGCTAACAGAAGACCACAGCAATCGAATCAGCAGCATTGACGTACATTACATATTTACTTTTATTTTCAAAATTTTCTCAGTTTATTCATATATACCAGCTGTGAACTTGATGATTAAATTGCTGTATATTGAGCTTGTCTACATAGTTTATCTGCTAGTTGAGAAATAAATCCTCAAAGCTGCAGGCTCTTCTTTATTATCAACCACACTAAAATTCAGTTGGTTATTAGCACCAAACAAGTGTTCTGGGTGCCTGAATAGTCATCTTCCGAAAATATCAATAATTCCAGGCAGCGTAACTGACAGTCCCTGATCCTCTCAGTTGACGTCGAAATTATCTAAAAGACAGCAGTATGCTCAAAAGCATTTTTATCCCTTAATTTAAACATATGTACAGAGCTATAGAGCCGAATGAGGATAAACATAATTTTGACTTCTGCCTGAGTACATATTAAGGAGAGGTAATACAGGAGAAAGAAGAATAAACCAATAGCTTTCTTTCTTTTTAAATGCAACTGATTCCTTTTCAAGGTGAATTGGAAATTGAATCTCCGATTACCTCTAATTCGCTACATCTAACCCAGAATTTCATCGCAGACTTGCGCCACATACCTTTTTGACACAGATTTATGGGCAATTGGTTATGCATAAATCTGTGTAAATTTTTTGACAGCACTCATGAACCTTTCGGAAGAATCCTCTGCCCGCTGCCAGCAACAGATGATGTTCTCACGCCTCTTTAACCATTTTTTTACTCCTTCACGTTCCCAGCGGAACATAGCTTCAAGCTAGAGGCTTGAAGTTTCTTTAGCAGTGTTTATTTTTACAGTATGGGGTTGCTTGCCTCATGCACAGCCTTTCCTCTTCATCAGCATGATTTCTGGCTTAGCGAGGTTAAGGGGTGCGTCGGCCGGGAATCGAACTCCCGACCAAGTGCATGGTTGACAAGCATCCCAACCACTGTGCTACCCTTTAGCCATGGACATGATAAACTATGCCATGATTGAAAATACATTGTGATAGCCCTAATACTCACCCGATCCAGTCAGCGCTAATGAAAAAATTGCCCACTTGAGGCGAAATGGCTGAGATTTTGTCAAACTAACCAATTTCTCTGACCACCTACCTTATGTATTATTCAACCTTTGTTGATTTTCCATAGCCACATGTATATGCTTGCGACATTGATAGGTGCTTCCACTTATTTTACTGTTTCAGTGATCCTACAGGTATTTTCAAGTGCGAAAGTGAAGGTTAAGCACAATCGCCTAGACCACTAACTCCTGAGGAGGTATAATATGGCCCAACACCGAAAGAATTTCTGGCACCTGTCTTCATCATGTGTCGTTTTTCAAAAACCGCATAAGGTAGATAGCCGAAGTTAGTGAAATTTCATCGATTCCTTATAGCTGCTTTTGAATTGTAACGAGGCATTCAAGGTGATTCACAAACCGTCCATAACTTTGGACTATAAACTTATTGGGATATTATTCAGACGCACTCATTAGTTTGGTCAAGCGGATAAGCACCCCTTGATAAGTCGTCACTCTTCGCCAAATGAAAATTCATTTAAAAAAATTTTCAGTGCAATATCCTGCTTATCGGTTTTTGTCCTAAGGTAATAGATCACTGATATGTAGGCAGCCACACGAGTAGACATGGAAATACGGAGTGTTATATATGTCTCGCTCATTTAATGTTCAGGCCAAACCTCCCAATGTAGACAAGCAATCTAGAAGCCCACTAAGTTATATGTCTTGGACTACTCCGAATCGTTTTTCTGCTGGCCTACATTCCTTTCCAAGGTGTTTTTAGGGCCAGGCAATATGCAGAATTTATTGGAATATAGCAACGTAACACATGGAAGCTCTGCACATCACAATAAACCAACTGTTTGAGCCCCAATTGAATGGGTTTCAGATATCGGTAGGTCGGAAGTGGACTATTCTGTCACCTTTTTTTAAAGAGAGGGTAATGGACCAATTTATCGGTGCAATAGATCTCTAGCTCCAGTGCTATCAGCATGGAGTTTTGTAGAATATGCTGTGTTGTGACATTAGGTAGCATATGGATAAAAGTACGTCATGGTTACAGCCAATCATAGTTTCAAGATAGATTGGAGATGCTCTACTAACCTAACGCCTAAAAGTATACGTGTCAATAAATTACAAGTCCATATGTTATATTCAGGTCTGAGAAGTGCCTTTGCATCTGTATCTCATAAAGTTTAGCTCCCAAATGTTTACTTAACAGGAAACAGTTATCTATCTCCATTTTGGATAAGATTCTATTAGAAGGTGAATAATGTTTCTAAGGGTTACATCATAGAAAACGTAGGAAGCGGTGATATTGCAAGGAGTGGTTCCAGGTCCTCTGTTATTCTTGGGTTTCACTGATATTTGCTGCAATAATTTGGGTTTTTGAACAACCTTCTATGCAAATAATGTAAGATAAGAAGGGCCATGAGAAATCAGTTCACAGAAATCAGATGGCAGGCATAGACGCATGATGCCATATTTACTGATATACAGATTTGAATAGCCGGACACGACTCACATCAAACTCTAGTGTTTGTGACCAGATCCAAATGATTTTTGAACGCCACTTCTCTCTTTTGCAGCTGAGCTTATCAGCACCGCACATAGTTTCGATTCATCTTAGAGAGACAACTTCTGGATAGCCACCTGGACTAACTGGTAATCCCACAATGAGGTTTATACAACCTAATCAAAAACGCTTTATTTGTATGTATTCCACATGATAGTTCAGTCGCACGTATATTATTTATACGATAAGTTCATGGCCCTTGAAATAAACACGAGTAAATGATCATGTCAAGTTATTTTACGAGTGTTTTGTTAATCTGCTTAAATGTGAGAATTGTTATTTACATTCTCTATGGCGTGAAGTCAAAATGCCAGTCAGGAAAGGTAGTTTCTCACTTTCGTGCTACGTCTAATAATTCTTAAGACTGTAGTCGAGCACTTCATATCCTTTCAAATTACAAATATGATCTCCAGGGTAATAATGATAAATCTTTCCGAAATGCCGTCGAAAAACTAATAAACACATTGCAAAGCCAACTGTTCTCATCTCTTATGGGTTAGATCACTTAGACTCATAGGTTTTATATTTCAGATGTCTTGGAAGTTTATGAACTTACTGTAACAGGAGACAATAAGGAGTTCTCCAGTGAGCAAGTTCCTGATTCATTGGTTAGTTAACCTTAGACAAATTATGATATAATACCTATGCGTTAATTATTTTTGGCATTTTCGATATCCATTGTCCTAATTTTAGAGTTTCTGTGAATTTTTGGTGGTAAAATAATATTAAATGTTGGATAATTTTGTCGGATCACGTTTTTTATTATATTTCAATCAGTCGGAACTTAAAGGAAATTTTTTTCAAATTCCACTTTTATCTCCTGGTTTAACAAGGTAAAATTCAGTCTCCACGATTTGGCATCAAATGTCACATAATCTATGTTAATGAGTGTAGTCCATTTCTCTTTTGTATTCCGTTGTATTCCTACGACTACTTGACGCTAAGTGCACTACAACACTTTCATTTCCAGTAGTAAAGCCACTTTGACAAAGAATCTGAATTGTACTCGTTATGATATTGATAATAACTGCTTAGGCTTAATCAAGTGCACTTCACATTTTAGGACTATATGGTAATTATTGCCTGCACTAATCTGACCGAAATAAAATTTTATGACATTAATTATTTAAGCTATATTTTTCGTAATAAAGTGTACTTTATGTATAAGCTCTGTTAACGCTTAACAGCAGGTGGAACATTTTATCAGTTTCAAGACCATGTTTGTCACTTATGACTGCTTAAGATCGTTTAGTTTGAGTACCAGTAATTATTTTCCTTAGATTATACCTGTTAACCACTTTCGTAATTTCTTAATTTACACTCAAAGCTAACATCTTGTCATTTCAAACGTTTTCAGTGTATAAAATTCTGAAAACCACGCACCTTCAGCATTCAGAGCTGATAAGGTTGTTATCTTTTAAGTCAATACACGGCAGGCTTCTGAAAATAATTGTTATAGATTTTTCGTTATATACTAACGGCTTTGATTTACTTGTCATTCCTTAGTAGTTAACGCAAATTCATCTATGTCATAAAACAAATATTTCTTTTTTCTTTTGGTTCCAATTTTCACATTTAAACACTATTCTCCCATGATTATATTTTACTTATGTAAAACTGACGGACACTGAAAGTAAAATCCTTAAGTTTGGGTAGAGTAAAAGTTGGTTGCATAGAATACTGAAGTGTGAGTACCACACAAGAATTATGGAGTTTTGTATTAAATATAAGACATTCCAAAATCTTGACTTCACCAGGGTCAAGATAATGGTGTTAGAATCGTCTGTATTAGTTAGGTTATAAATTATATTCTTGAAACTAACACTTATTCCTTGTGATCAGCTTTACGAGAGATAGAAAAGGAAATATATTTCCATAAAAATGCCAATCTTATGGCAAGATAATTATGTTTATGTTAATACCAGCCATTTATGTCAGGGGAGCACCGATATCCCTACTTATAACCTTAAAAATCCATGCAGTGTAACACAGTGTTTATTTAGAGTTTCAGGAATTAATACTAGTGAACAGCAAATAACAACGAGTGAAACACGAGAAAAAATAAATTACAAAGTTACAGGCCGAGGAATACTGAAGAGTTACAGTTTTTCCCCCTGGCATCCCAAATGTAATATTCTCGGAAAACAAAAAATTTGATAAAACCATTAAAATTCAGAATAAATGCAGTCCGAATTCAACGCCAATCCTTTTACTTTGTGTAGTAATAGCATAGGAATGGAATCGTGTATACACTTTATATTTAAAGTTATTTAGTTCAATATCATTTGAGGAGGTACTGTAGACAGTCTTGAAAAGTGATTCATTCGTTTATAAGCAGCTTTTTTCTGAAACGAGTAGTGACGACTAGTGGCGTCCGTCAAGGATGCCTACTATCCCCATTCCTATTCAACTTCATCATAGACGTACTAATGGACTTAACCCTATCACACTTCAGCGACTCAGGGATTGACTTGCTACCAGGGAATAATCTCGTTGACTTAGAATATGCGGACGATATAGTCCTTCTAGGCGAGGACTCTGACAAAATGCAGAGTCTACTGAACACCCTGAGCAACAATCTTCGTATGTTTGGCATGCGATTCGCCCCTGTAAAATGTAAGATGATGCTGCAAGATTGGACTTCATCGACCCCTAGATTAGAAATAGGAAGTGAAGTGGTAGAACACGTTGACCGCTTCAATTACTTTGGAAGTACCATCAGCCCCAACGGGTTGATCTCAGACGAAATTTCAGCACGAATACAGAGGGCTAGGTTCGCATTCGCCAGTTTTCGCCGTCTCTGGCGTAGACGCGATATCCGACTATCGACCAAAGGGCGTGTGTACTGCTCATCAGTCCGCTCCGTCCTCCTTAATGGCTGTGAGACCTGGCCATTGAGAGTGGAAGACATGAAAAGATTAGCTGTCTTCGATCATAGGTGTGCGTTCCATCTCCCGAGTGAAGTGGTATAATAAGGTGAGCAATATTGAGGTTAGGCGTCGAGTGCTAGGTAAGGCGGGGAAATCAATCGACGAAACGGTGAAATTACTTCGACTGAGATGGTTAGGACATGTGCTACGTATGCCTAGTCGTCGTCTTCCTCGACAGTGGGCAATGTTAGCTGATATAGAGCCAGGCTGGGAAAGAGCTAGCGGCGGTCAAACGAAAACATGGCACCAATCAATGAAATCCACAACAGTTAGTCTAAGCCACGTAGGAAGATGTAGACTTCCTGGTTGGGGCCCTCGGGATGGTAAAAACCAATGGTTGGAAACAATTGGTGACATGGCTCAAAATCGTTCCCAGTGGCGCAGATGCATCCACTCCTTGTGACTTATGATTTCCAATTAAACTGTTTTGTTCTCCGTTATTACTATTCCTTTGTCTCACACCTCTGTTTACTGTGTATATTATGCATTTCTTCTACTTCCTTCTCTTGCTTTGCGTGCTACATAGATTGTGGCGACTTGAACTGCCGCACATATGTGCAAAGTTCTATGTCGAAAACCGATCGACCGACCGAGGTTATCTAGCGTCGTAATCTGAGAGAACTATCATCAGAGTACTATTGATTAAGGAGACCCCTCTTTTCTAGAAAGTCAACCTCTCAGACACCGTAGCTGATCAGCTGTCACGTGACTGGGCGAGTTAGAGAAAAGTTTCTTTGTTAGTATACTATACTTTATCAACACTGTTTTCGAAGCCACACGATGTCACATGGCCTCCAATCAGCAAAGTTAAAATATGCCTTTAAGTAAAGAAATATGAAATAGGTAACTATGCATACGTTTCCAATCATGTGGAAGGGTCGAAATATGACCAATACTACTTACCTGGCTTTTCCATGTTTTCTTACCGCCTCTCAATTAGTCTTCCTAGAGTTACTGAGTCTAGAATCTTAGACACCATATTAGTCAAGCTAATCCCCCCGTGATTATTATAGGAAGGTATGTCGCCTTCCGTATAAACTGATGTATATCGGCATGATGCAACCACCTTGGATTTTGATAGCCTTTCAGACAGAATTATTGCTATACTCTCCGGACTGCAAATACTACCTTTGTGCGCAGGATAAAGTGGAATAAAATTACCATTTGGTATCATAAAATCTGTAATAACTTTAAACTTCTCCATGTTTTTGACTATTATTTTCTTCTTAAAGCTGTCGTAATTCTATGTTTACTTTTATGTTTTCAGAATATTCGTCTCAACGGATCGATTGTCTCTCCTGATAGCCAATCTGTTCTGAAACAGTTAAGTTCTGGTATGTTATTGCATTGTATATAAAGTTAGTTTTAGAACAAAAATTTTGTTTTTCTAAAGGATGTTATCTGAAATTGTAGACAGTGGTTTCCTAAGTATGTCGAAGTGTAAACACTGGTACTTCTGAGTAATAGTACACACATTCTTTCCATCACTGTTTATGCAAATTTCAATTTCACAATTTAAGACAACTTTATTCGTATTCAAATTATTAGATTTTGGAATTTTGAATTGTTTATTCACTAAGAATAAACTTGACTGTTGCATAAGTTGCAGTTTCTTTCAGGTTGATCTACATTTTTAACAAAAGGATGATTTCGCCATCAGGACATTTTTCTTAGTGTCGGTTTAGGTGAATTACAAAAAAAGATTGTTTGTACTTATCTTTCAGTGTTCAGAAATGATTATTTAATTTACATACAGTCTGGAACATGAACCTGTCGACTACAGGTTTTAATGAGCTTATATTATGACTGTAAGGATGTACAGATCACAAATTTACATAACTGTTAGGTTAGTCGCTAAATAGGATACCTGACCAAGGGTTCATTCACGTAGCACTGTCAGAAGAACGCCTGACCGATAATTCTAGAGAATGGACTTCTTCAATTTCACTCATAATTCACCTGCATTTATGTCAGTCAGTTGAGTGAAGCCGTTTCAGTTAGCTGACTATCTGTTCAATAACTTTTGAAAGAAACTCAAAAGATAATAGTAGTATGCAACTTCATGAAGAGACAATTTCATTTGAGGTAGTTTCCATAAGGGTTAATGCAAAAGACACTATGAATTTGATAATTGGGTTGAATATTTCAGTTGTTCAGGCTGTTGATGAGATTACTTTAGGAGTAGAGACTTATTTCGTCGAAATCTTATGAAACTGAAACCATTTGTAGGATACTGTAACGATCTAATAAATAAATGTTCATTTTGTTCTATGAGTCGATTCAAAGCATACACTAGTGATTCATACAAGTCTCTATCTAAATTAATATTATTTGTTTATTAAAGTTTGATCAGTCCTCAGTTTATAAATTAATCTCAACCAACAGTACTAACAAGACTGGATAAACTGAAAAATGAATGATCTACAGTTAACTGGGAATTTGTTTTCCGCCATTTTGAAATTATAGTTTTGCTGTCATATTATTCGCATTCACTATAGAACATTATGACTTAATGTTGACTAAAATAATTATTTCTTAGATAATGCAGAAAAGTAGAAATCAATAATTACTTATCTATTCTGTGTTTTGTAAATAGCTACAAGCTGTGGCACATAATATCGATCACATATTTTATTACATTCCTGAGTGCTAATTTTCTGAATTCAAAATTCCACACAGGCGGCATCATATTTACTACTAAAAAATAGTCAGTTTTAAACAAATGAATTCTTAACACTTTCGACATTCATTAAATGCTTTCAGTTGTTTAGTGGTGCATTTAAATTTGACTGGTTTGTCAAAATTTATTGAAGACTGCATATTTAAAAGTGTTGAATTCTCTTTGTTTGGCGAGTGAATTTTCGAATTGCCTGTGAGTCGTCATAGTCTGTAGGTGTAATTATACTTGTCATCAAAGAATATGTTAAGTGCTCACATTCTAAACAAAGTCATGTTGTATAAAAAAGTTAGGAAATATAGGAGTATTAACCTTTAAATATTCGATTTGAATAGCGTATTTTTAAACTAATACAACCCACTGTATATTTAATAATTAGATACACTGTAAAGAATACAATAAAGAATAGAGGGCGATTTTATGACATATCCCTTCTTTGAAGTGGTGCCATATTTATCCAGTGGTTATTGGGGCGTTTCAACGTAAAGACCAAAATATACCGGCATGATTTCGTGAAAATCAGATAATATACGTTTAACTTTTGTAATTACTGTCTCCCTTAATCCATTACATTGCGCAGATATCAGCATCAAGCAACATTTTCCGATAAAATTGCAGCAAATGTAGTGCAGTTCAAAAGTATAATGCCACCGATATAAAGCCGGAAAAAACTTTCTATTGCAAAATTCCTTTAAAAAAGCATTAAAAAATAACTTGTCATTAAACCATCATAGCAACGAACTAAAATGCTATAGTTTTCAGGAATATACAATAAGGCCACTTAAGAATAAAACATTATGTTAAATGTTTAGTAATCAGGATGTATTTAGAATTTGTTTGACCATTACTCTTCTCGCATTCCGTATCACTAACTGAAGAAATAATATGATGAAGTTTTTTATTTTATTGAATTTAACTAGTGTAATGTGTGTGTATATGTAGTTCTATCTTTGGTGCAAACTGAATTCTATCAGTCAAGTTTGCAATGTGGCCACCATGCTAGGTGGCTCACCATCACGGTGCACTGTGAATTGTTGGTATTAGATAGTTGGAGGCAATCGGCAGGAAGCCTTGGACCTAGGTTTTGTGCCAGTTGGCACTCATCAGCAAGGCGTATCTGCGAACTCGAAGGAACTCAGATACGCCCTGCTGATGAGCTCCAACCATCACGAAACCTAGGTCCAAGGCTTCCTACCGACTGCCTCCAACCGTCTCATATGATAAAATGTTTGTTAGAGTAACAGGATTTTTCTGTGTTGCAGGGCATTTATAACTCAGTCTATATTTGTTTTATTGTCGACATGAATCTGTATATCTGAAGTTGTGAAAATCTTTGCAATCGAATCTTAAAAGGTGTATAGCTTTCTTCACTTTAGCTATAACGGCTAATTTGATCGCCTACCTAAATATATTCAAAACACAGCTGAGAAATTACAAAACATTTTTAGTGCCATCTACATTGCCTTTTCGTAAACAATTAAACAACTATAATAGTTTGATTTTTGGTCACAATTTTATGTATAACAAAAATAATAAAACTTTGTAACGTATTCCTAATTTTATTAGCACTTACGCAATTCTGAAATATGTTGTTTTAATGTAAATTGTCAGATCAGGTATCAGCAAAAGGTGAATGGGATTACCTAGACATCTTCCTCAAACGTGATCCATCTGCTGTTGGTGGATTCGGCTTTAGTATTGCAGGCGGCATCGATAATCCTATTTCAGATGTAGATCATGGAATATATGTGACAAGAATTGCACCAAATGGATGTGCAGATAGAGATGGAAGATTAAGGTAAGATGAATGCATATAGACTAATAATTCTGATATACTTTAGATAAATATTTGTATTGAGATGTTTGTATATATTATCTTAAACACCAGCAGTAGTTGTAAGGTTGACGAAGGAAAAAAGAGATTAAAAAAATATTTTCTTCAATTATTGAACAGGTTACTGTTGACCGTTTTGAGTCATATTCCAAATAGGTATTTAAATTTCTTATTTTCATAGTCCTTGTGTACTTACTCAGTTATTAGGCTTGGTGAATTAGTTAAATCAGGCAATTCCAAAAATGTATGTTCCAGTTAAATTTCAAATTTCCTTCTATATTTTTGTTTTTCTGAATTGTAAATTCTTTTTTCTGGTTGAACTAGTTGATAGTTTTAAAGGATACACGATCTGTGAAACAATAAATGCCGCAATACAAGTACAATATGTTAGGAGTTTAGTAAAAAAAGGACTAAAATGTTCCGTAATATGATTGCAACAAGATGTATCTAGATGATGACTAATTTTGATCAAACTGTCTCTTTGTTTCTTTAAAGAAGGATTAATAAAGTTAAACAACAAACATTAAATGTTTTGCCTTCGTAAAATACTTCTGTTGACGACTGAAAACAAATTGATGTAACTCTGCTAAAATTCAATTCCGCTTGAAGACATCTATGGTATAGAAGTGGATCCGTGCAGAGTAGAGCACAAATGAGAGACGCAATATTCAGGTGTTGGTTTTGCAGTCATTTAATTGGCGTCCACAACGGGAAACTGACGGAATCCTTCGAAGTGAGGACAGGAGTAAGACAAGGCTGCCTACTATCGCCAATGATTTTCCTGATTGCAGTAGATTGGATAATGCGACAGACAGCGGGCAATGAGGAAACAGGCATAAAATGGACTCACACAAAAAACTTGGAGGATCTGCACTTCGCCGATGATATATATGTCTGATTTCCCACAAACTGGAAGATATGCAAGCGAAAAGCAACAAGTTGGCAGAAGAAGCATCCAGAGAAGATAGGACTTCAGGTGGACATAGAGAAAACAGAGGTGATGAAGATTCCTGGGCAACACCACCAACAGCAAAGCAACAACAACAGACAACAATCAGCATAAATGGAAGGAACCTGAAAGAAACAACCTCCTTTACCTACCTGGGAAGCATCGTTTCAACTACAGGCGGAACTGACGAGGATATCAAAGCAAGAATCGGAAAAGCAAGACAAGCTTTCACTACTCTCAAGTCTGTGTGGAGGTCAACAACACTCAGCATCAAAAATAAGATCCGGATTTTCAACTCCAATGTGAAGTCATCTACTATACGGATCAGAGACTTGCACTGCGCGTCATAAAGAGCATCTCAAACAAACTACAGACCTTCATTAACAGTTGTCTTCGCTCAATACTCAAGATCAGATGGCCGGCCAGAAAAGATCAGCAACAGGGATCTTTGGGAGCGAACCAACCAGGAACCGATTGTGAAACAAATAGGCAGGAAGAAATGGAGATGGATTGGCCATACTCTGAGGAAACCATCAAGTGACATCACTAGACAAGCCATTGCTCGAGTGGAACCCGAAAGGGAAGCGGCGAGTCGGTCGTCAGTGCAAGGGTGACTTGGAGGAGGTCATGTGAAGAGGAGATGAAAACGTGTGGGCAGACTTGGAGCCAGGTGAAGACTGTAGCAGAGAACAGAACGCAATGGAGACGCACAGCTGAAGCCCTATGTTCCTCTAGGAATTAAAGGAAACAATAATAATAGGTCACAAACTGACACCACTTTGAGAATCACTGTGAACGATGGTATACCAAAAAAGCCATTTCATCTTAATTTGCGACTATTCGGTAACGCATACCCATGTCTACACCAGGGATTGAACTCAGAATCTTGAGGTTAGGAGGTGAGCAATTGACAGAATCAAACTGCCCATGAAATCTAACTTCTGCCTATTCCCCGTATGTAGCGATATTGCCAGTCAGTGTCATCGGCGAGTATTCGTCCTCACACTAAACTTGATGGACACCTGATTACTACTACTCACTAAAATGCCAGCGTCATCATCCTGTAGTCAATCACTAATGAGTAATAGGTTAATTTTGCAAGTGTTGGTTTGCACGAATTTAATTGGTTTCTGGTTAGGACATGAATGGCCATATAGATACAGTGCCACTACAATGTTTGAATGTGAATGCTACAAGAAAGATAGTTATTCGCCTTATATTTTATTATATTGTTAACAAATCACGCAGTAGTTTGTCTTCACTTATTTGTTTTCTCTGAAGAGTTGACGATCAAATTCTCTCTGTGAATGACATCAACTTGGAACACGTCACGAATATGGAGGCTGTAAGAACATTAAGACAAGCTGGCAATCAGTTAAACCTAGTAAGTTTCATTTTACCGCTATTAATATTTCACTGCATGTAGGACTGTTCCAAAGCATAATTTCCGATCCTTTATATTATAGCACTGTTTTTTTCTTCTCTAACCTTATTGTTGACAGTATTTCCTTTACATACCTGGTATTCAAATCGTGTCGTCCGTCTTAAATGTCAGTTTGATGAATACAAGGTTCAGTAATCAACGTATTCCTCCAGTTATCTGGGTTTTATCATCCTATATGATTCTGTGCTAGTACATGAATAATAGCCGCAGAGATCTTTTTGTCTCATTCACTTTACGGGCGCTACATGGTTGTGCTATGGTTATCTAAATAACTCCAGTCAGTTGATTTGATATGAGTACTTGACTCCATCTTTAGGCAGTGGGTTCTAAAACTAGGTTTTTTTTTGACAATTAATCTAGGATGATGACTTCAATGCCTGAGAATTTTTAAGATCCAATTTGATGAAATCTTTTCAACTTACTGCATTCTTTAGTGTTTGCGTATTTCTTGTTTTAGTGTTTGTTAGTTGAAAGATCTTGAAATAATAGAGAAGATTTGTAGCTCAGGTGGATGATTTGCAATTAATAAAGTTCTCTGAGCTGGTTGGTTTAGTTGCGGAGCTAACTATTGCGTTGAAGATGTTGTTCAGAAGGACGACGAAAGCTCCGCAACTAAACCAACCAGCTCACAGAACACTATTAATTGCAAGTTGAAAGATCTGTTTTAGCGATACTCAACATCAACGTAAACTCTTTGCCAACTCTAATTGTTTCTCCTTATTTCCCCTAACCGAAGAAAGTAGTGATTATTGCATAGATAATCTGATGATGTTTTATTGTACACTTTCACCTTGTCATCTATGTTAGTTGTTTGATACACAACATGTCAAGTTAACAGATATGTGTAAATTTCTTTTTCATATTATCTAAAGAATTCTCAGTGAATTATGCTGCTGCTGCTTGGCTCATTGACTTCCTTCGCCTATGATATGTCAAATTACCTTAAAACACAATCATTCTAGTGATTATTACACAAGAAGTATGAACTGTCCTCTTTTGTTCTTATTTTGTATTGTTCTTTGTTTTGGAAAAAAAAATCACTTTTTAGATAGTGCGCCGGTTTGTCGGGAATGCAGCAATGACAGCATCTAATGGTGGACTGCAACAATCGTCTTTACCGCTTCAATCACCTGAAGTTCTGTCTGATATGGAAGACAGTGGCTCAACTCCTATTTGGTATGAGGTAAATTATAAATTTTTTTTATTCCTTCACTGTGGAACATAGAGCTTCAAGCTAGAGGCTTGAAGTTTCTGTAGCAGTGTTTATTTTTACAGGATGGGGTTGCCAACCTCATGCCCAACCTTTCCTCTTTACCAGCGTATATTTCCGGCTTAGTGAGGTAAAGGCGTGCGTTGGCCGGGGATCGAACCCCGGACCATGTGCATTGTCGGCGAGCGTCCTAACCGCTATGCCACCGACGCTAAATTATAAATGAAGACTGATTATTATCCGAATCCTCTTTAACTATATGCTGCTTTTTCTCTTCATAGTTATTGGTGATGGGAAAATCTATTTTCCGAAAATATTATCTTCATTTTGAACGATAAGAGGAAAGGTGTTAGTAAATAAGGTTTACCTTTTAAAACTGAATCAATTTATGTCATTAAATTCACTATACTAAGTAACTCTTGAAGATATCTGCAGTTACTACACTGGAAATTCAAAAGATTTCTCTAAAATACCTTTTTGACAATATAAACTCCCTGCTGAACAATACTTCATCACTTTGGAGATAGGCTGTACGCTTCGTTGTTCATTAACAGAACTTTGTACTACAAGACATCCCTTTTCGAAATGTTATTTGAGCTATTTAACAACATTTGTTGCCAAATTACTCAAATTAAGGAAAACTGGTTTGAGAATTGCTTTTCATTTCACTTTGGTGTAGAATTCATCATGAATCACCATGGGTTACAAAACCAAGAAAGATCAAGGAGCACTTGATAGCTATTTCGTCCTCGTTACGGACTCTTCAGGAGTGTGTAGCCACAACCTTACCAGAAGTTGAATCCAGGACCTTTAGACTACAAAGGCAATATGTTGGCCATTCAACCTGAAGGTTTTAGATTCAGTCTCTAGCGGGGCTGTGAGTGCTAACTGATGAAGAATTCCAAACTAGGACAAAACAGCTTTCCTATGGTTTTTGACTTTTACTGATCCCTTCACTGATTTTAGTTTATGACGAAATCTACACTGAAAGTTATCAGAATCCCTAAAAAATTCAAAATCTGTATTTTTATTTAAGTGCCATCCAAAAGGGATATTGAAGGCAAAAGCTTCATTTTTACGAAATTATTTGGTCGCTTCAATATGCAACACATTTTGTTTCTTCATCTCTACTTTTCACCTACAGAAAATGGTTAAGCTCTGTGTAACTGTTCAAGATAATGTTTAAAATCATTTTTGCATAAAATTTATGCGACGAAATTCTAAAGAAAAGAAGTAAATATCATTTTACGTGTTTCGTCCTTATGTAGTTAAGTATTTCCTACTGTAGGATAAACAATTAAGTCTAATTACGGTAAAAAAAAAGTGGGTTTCTTGTTCGTGAAACTTGGCAGTTGAAGATTGAAACAAAACCTTTCGAGTATTTGTGAGTTTGTATAAAATGAATGACAGACTGTACTATATCTCATTAAATATGAGAAAATCAATTAAGAAAGTAAAAGTCGACTGCCGGTACTGTGATATATATATGTCTTAAAGGCATATGACAAAAGCGTTTAAGCTTAGGTTATCCCTTCCAACCTATCAGAATACTTGTGTATAGAACATTAGGGTATGTGTTGACAAATACAGTATTTGGATTTGTTAATGTACACATTACCGCGTAATCATCGAATTTTGCAAGTGAAACTGACGCTGAGAATTCTAAACATTTTATTTCCAAATACATTCTAAAGTTTGCCTAAATGACATCGGACATACTATTGTTATCTGAATACACGCATTTTCATTAAAAAATAACCTAAACAGGTTTAACAAACAAAAATACATTAAGTGTAAATTTATTCGACAAATATTATTTTCACAGAACTTTTAATCTTTTCTACGATGTTTGCTGATTCTATACTTATTCGATGTTTGGTACCGACAAGAATCTCTAAGTTGTACACTGTGTGTCTGTTGTCTTCTGGATGCATCTTAAACAGCAGAGAGACAAGTGAAGTTTCGATGAGGAGATACGAATGTTTCTTGTGAAACAGTATAGAAAATATGAAAGGAAAATGAAAGGAGCGGAATACAAAGAAGTTTTACAATTGGATATTAAATGTAGTTCCTGTATCTTGTCATCGCCTGATACACATTCCGCCACCAAATACTTCTGTGTTCTACCGCTACACCTGTAACTAAAAGACTTCCTTTCTAATTCTAGGCTCAACTCCGTAAACCCACTCCAAATACCGGCCTTGGGTTTAGCATTGCTGGTGGGCAAGATGTGGAGAATGGAAATTTCCCTTCCACTGGAATTTTTATCACACGCATTAGTCCAGGTGGTTTAGCTGATTTAGATGGTCGTATTATGCCTGGTGATCAATTAATGCAAGTAAGTGTGTACGTCACTTTCTGCTATAATAATAGTAATAATAATAATTCTCCTTATTTATATATGTGTCTATTGATTTCTTAATTTCCTCATATGGTCCTGTTTGTATGTGGATGTTCACCTACTCTAAATAGTCTGATTTGTCTAATACTACTGTTGCATTTCTTTTGCCTGATTTTGTGATTACTACATCCTTGTTATTCCTAAGGGTTTTTAAGGTTTTTATCTCTGGTTTCGCTAGGTTAGGCTTCCCTCATTTTCGTCGTTTTAACTTCAGTGCACGCTGTGCCTGTACGTCATCGGCCGTTGTTTTCTCTATCCCACCTAGTACTATTTCTACTTTAGGGATGACATCCTCAGGTTTCAGCTCGTCTACCGCTACAGTGAAATGTAGTCCTTTTTCTAATACCATTATTTTTGTGGTACTTAACACATGCATTGAGAGATTGATAACCCATTTTGTTTTATCGATCGCTATTGACTTTAGATTTCTGATCTCATCGTTCTCAGATGGAGATTTCTCCTTCAATAACTTATTGAATTTTTGTACTTTTTGAATCCAGCTGATTTGGCATTGTCAGAGGAGTGTATTATAAGATCGTAATCCACGTTGGTAACTGTTCCCATTAGTTTTTGATTTAACTGCTAGATTTCATTTCTGATATGGTACAACTTTTTAACGATTCTGTGGATCTGTTCTTTTAGGCATAACTTCTGTAGACTTTCTATTCTGGTTCTAAATTTGTCTGTCTGGACTGGATTTTGTAGACGTAGATATTTAGCAATGACTTCACTTTTCAGACATCGAGTGTTGAAAATACTATGATTGGCATGTCTTGCTTCAGTTTGCAAAAGTCGCATGAGTTTAGTGATTAGTCTTCGGACAGACCATAAGTCATATTAATATATGTGTATATGGAGAATTCTTAACAATGCAGTAATAAAAGTGACATTCAAACTCACAAACTCAATTAGAAACAAGCTTTTTCGGTTAAAGGATCCTGTGGAGCCAATTAAACAAAACAGTTTGGTTTATCTAATACCCTGCAATGATTGTCAGGTCAAATACATAGGTCAAAGTAATAGGACGGGGTCTGTCAGATTAGCGGAGTACAAAAACCTAGCAAAATTAGATTATTGATTGACACTAGTCAGTAACTAGTGTAATGTGTGTGTATATGTAGTTCTATCTTCGGTGCAGACTGAATTCTATCAGTCAAGCTTGCAATGTGGCCACCATGCTAATTGGCTCGCCGTTACGGTGCACTGTGAATTGTTGGTATTAGATAGTTGACCCAAATAAGATAAGAATTCCGTAGAATAGTTCAGCTATAGCACTACGTGCAATTACACACAACCATACAATAGGATGGGATAAGATGACAGTTTTAAAATCTAATGCAACAGGGTGAAGGGGGAGATTGACAACAAAAGCTTTATTTATCTAATCAACTGCAAATACGTGTAACAGGAATGATTCAACACACCTGTCCCAGATATCTGGAAAATTCCACTACCCCTACAACAAATAGGAAGGAATATAGAAAATTATAAATTGAAAGTTTCGAAGTTGTGTGATTATAATTGATACGATTATGAACAGCAAATTGTGTTCGAAATGTCATCCAGTAAATAATACTGTTTCACTGAATGATAAATCTAATAAGTAATAACCCTCCTTGTGCTTGTCTACCTAACCACTGTCCAAAAATTCTGATAAACAAAGGACATTCTCAAAACAAGTATTTCATACACCCGATTCCCCTGACTACTTTGAACAAAGCAAAAGACGTAAACGACGAAGAAAATTTTCGTTTCAACGATTCATTTTCATAAGCTGTACAGTCATAGTTATATTTAATAAAGAATTTATAAGACTATTCAGATACTGGGAAGATTCGTCCTCGAAAAGCGTATTACATAATGTGAGGTGTAATTTAGAGGTGAGGTGACTAATTGGAAGTTAGAAAAGAGGCAGAAGTTGGGATGACATAATAAGTGTGAGAAAATGACTAATCAATATGATTGTGTAGAGTGGACAGGAACTAGTGGAAAGACGATAAAATGTTTCTATAAAATCTGTACGAAAACGTGATGTGATTAATAAACAGTAATAGAGTGATAATGAAACATTGTTGATGAGAATAATAATGATAATAAAATAATTATAACGATAATAATAGTAAACTTACACAATGAAAAGGAGCAAAACTATAGTAAGATTGTTACTCCGGCCAGAGTTAGTTTACTATTATTATCGTTATAATTATTTTATTATCATTATTATTCTCATCAACAATGTTTCATTATCACTCTATTACTGTTTATTAATCACATCACGTTTTCGTACAGATTTTATAGAAACATTTTATCGTCTTTCCACTAGTTCCTGTCCACTCTACACAATCATATTGATTAGTCATTTTCTCACACTTATTATGTCATCCCAACTTCTGCCTCTTTCCTAACTTCCAATCAGTCACCTCACCTCTAAATTACACCTTACATTATGTAATACGCTTTTCGAGGACGAATCTTCCCAGTATCTGAATAGTCTTATAAATTCTTTATTAAATATAACTATGACTGTACAGCTTATGAAAATGAATCGTTGAAACGAAAATTTTCTTCGTCGTTTACGTCTTTTTCTTATGACTCAATATGGGAGTATTTCTTTCAAAAAAGAAATGTAATTTAGGGATAAAAAGTGCTCATTTTATTTCAAAACATATGTTGTCACAAATAAATGTAAGTATGTAACATGTTTCAAAAATATTTCGAGTCAAAAAATGCTTCATAATTCTCAGCACAATGGTGAAGCAGTGTAAATTATATTCAGATAATCAGAGTTTAGTTACAGGAATTCATCATGAGCTGACATCAGTTGGAGTACCATTGGAAAACCTAGGAGTACTTGACAGCTGTTTTGTCCTAGTTTGGGACTCTTCAACAGTGCGCACCCGCCGAGGGTCCCAGTGGGTTAGTGGTCTACGAGCTAGCTCGCCTTGTAACCAGAAGGTCCTGGGTTCGAACCCTGGTGGTGGGTGCGTACTGATGAAGAGTCCCAAACTAGGACTAAGTGACTGTCGTGTACTCCCAGGTTTTCCAATGGTTCTCTAACAGACGTCAGCTCATGATGAAATCCTGTAACCAATCAATCAAATCCCCACAAACCAATACTTGAAAATCAGAGTTTATTTATAAGTAACTAGATGGAAATTTCCAAGACTGAGAGGGAAGGATGAAAGAATACGGTAAACAAAAGTAAAATGTTACATAATCAAGGAAATAAGTAAGTTATATATAAATAAACCCTGATTTTTCGATTATTTTAAAATTAACTATCTATCCAGACACATGACTATGATAACTTCATATTCGTCAATGAACGTGTTCTAATTTGAATCGCTGCTTTTGATTCAAACTAAGTACTTCTGCTCCAAACAAATCAACAACAAAGATAATTGCAGGATAAAAATGCCCAATCTTATTTTAAAACAAGAAGTACTTTATATCAGAAATTTATCTTCAAATTCGGACATGTTAGTTAGTCACTGGGTAGTTAGTTACCGGTTTTATGTGCCTAGTCCTTTGTTCTTATTAGGGCTGGCTGAATTCTTGTCATTTAGTCGGAGGTATGATCATGAATCTAAGAGAACCACCATCACGGTGCACTTTTTGAACCAGTAGTGAACTCAACTCCGTGAGGTTTTTATTTACTTACATTTCAGGGAATTTTTTGACATTTTCTGTATATGGAAAAGTGAAAAAAATTACTATTCCCTCAGAGTCCTAGTGGATTATAAAGCTTCAGCAGCATGTCTTCATTTCACTCTGCTTTCTGCAGTCCTCTTTAGCTGGCTCCATGACTGCCTATAAGCTCTCATCTCCGCCTCACACGATATCCTCTGCCTGTCTCTGTCTGGATTTAACATAGAACTTGGCAACGAAGTGCACCAGTTCGAGTTGTAACGTTCCAAATAGCACACAAAGGTAGACAAGAAGATGAGTGAAGAGAATCAATAGAGTTTTGACAAGTATAAGAGTGAAACAGAATAAGCAATGGTAGAAAGGAATATGAAAGATTACAGAGACTGAATACATCTGCATAAGTCATTGACAACGATTTTGAGCCATGTCACCTATTGTCTCCAGCCATTGATTCTTAGATTACCGAGGGCCCAACCCGGAAGTCTGCATCTCCCTACCTGACTCAGTTTAACTGTCAGGGATTTCATGGATTGATGAGGCCATGTTTTTGTATGGCCACCACTTACTCTTTTTCAACTTGCACCTATATCAGCTAGTAATGCCCGTCGGGAGGGGGAGGCGATGGTTAGGCAGCACGTGACCCAACCATCTCAATCTATGTAACTTTATAGCCTCTTCGATTGATTTTCCCTCTTTGCCCAACACTACGTCTAACTTCAGTATTACTTACCTTATTATACCACCTAACGTGAGAAAGAGATCGTAGACATCTATGATGGAAAACAGTCAACCTTCTCATGTCTTCAACTCGTATTGGCCATGTTTCAGAGCCATAGAGAAGGATGGAGTGAACTGCTGAGCAGTACACACGTCCCTTGGTTGATAGCCGGATGTCACGTCTACGCCAGAGACGGTGTAAGTAAGCGAAAGCAGCCCGAGCTTTTTGGATCCGTACTGAGATTTCAATCCGTTTGTCCTGATACAACTTCCCAAATAGGTGGAGTGGTCAACATGTTCTATCACTTCACTCCCTATCACTAAGCTAGGAGTTGACGCAGTCCAGTCAAGTAGCAGCACCTTACATTTTACAGGGGCGAATCGCATGCCAAGCACACGATATCCTCTGTGTCACTCTTGGACACTTAAGTATCTGTTCCCCATTCTGGTTCCACTTGGAGACCTCAACGGCCTTCTCAGTGTGTGTTTGATCTATCTCCATTTCCTTCTGCGTATTTGTTGGGCAGTAGGTTTTAACTTGGTTCATTCCCAGAGTTCTTTGTTGCTTATTCCTTCTGGTCATCTGATCTTCAGCACCGAATGAAGGCGGATGTCGGTTAAAGTCTGAGGCCTGTTCAACATACTTCACGTGACGCGCTAAAAGTCTCTGAACCATATGGGAGAATTGATTTGACGTCGCTGTTGAAAATCTGAATCTCGTTCTTCATGCTGTTTGCACTGATTTTAGAGTACTGAATGTCTATCTCGCCTTTCTGGTCCTGTCTTTGATATCCTTATCCGTGCTGCCCGTAGCTGAAACGATGCTGTCTATGTGAGTGAAAAAGACAGATTTCTTCAAATTTCTCTTATTGATAGTGACTGGTACTTGTCGACTGGTCATCTTCATCACCTCTTCACCACCAGAAGTTCTGTCTTCACTGCTCCTTCTGCCAACTTGTTGGTTTTCATGAGTAGTTCTTCGAATTTGTGTGACATCAGCCATTAGTCGTCCGCGAATCACAGATCTCCTGGAATCTTCTCGCTTCCCATAATGAGGAATTTTATCGGTGATAGCAAGCAACCTTGTCTTACTCTTATCTTCAATTCAAAGGCTTCGTTGAGGTTCCATTGTGGGTTACTTGACATGGGGCATTGTCACAGAGATGAGGTTGATAAAGACTTGGGGAACTCTGTAGTGTTGGCGCACTTTCCAAATCACTTTGTGATCAGTGATATTGAAGATCTTTTCGCAATTGATGAAGTTGAGGTATCGATTTTATCGTCATCCTGTGCTCTGTTGGATGATTATATGTTACGCTGCAATTTGATCTGTAAATGATTTTCTTTCTCTGAATCTAGCTTGTTCCCAGTGAAGTTCTGCATCCAAAGCATATTTCAGTCTCTCCGCAATGACATGACTTAATATTTCCATTAGTGTGCAAAACAGCATGATTCCACACCAGTTTTCCCAAAGACCTAAATCCCTCTTCTTTGGTGGGTTGAGAAGGTCGTCTTTCTTCCAGTCAGTAAGCTCTTTTCCCTCCTTCCTTCCTTCCTTCTAAGCTTCCTCCAATGGTGGTGTGAGGATATCCGTTTCAGTTTCTGGATTCGTTTTCAGTGCCTCCGCAGGAATTTCGTCTGATCCTGATGCCTTCTGAGCCTTCAGTTTTTTTCCTTCATGTTCCCCAGTGGAACATAGGGCTTCAAGCTAGTGGCTTGAAGTTTCCTTAGCAGTGTTTATTTTATAGGTTGGGGTTGCAAACCTCGTGCCCAACCTTCCCTCTTTACCAGCATTATTTCTGGCTCAGTGAGGTAAAGGAGTGCGTCGGCCGGGAATCGAACCCTGGACCATGTGCATGGTCGGCGAACGTCCTAATCGCTATACCACCGACACCTTCAGTAGTTAGACTGAATTCAAGATTTTTGCTTTCTTTTGAAAAATGGTTCCACTGACAGTTCTGTGGTTGTCAGTGCTGTCTGGTGGTCTATTCAAGAGTTCTTTGTACTTACCGACCCATTTGTTTTCCCGTTTCTTTTCTTTGGTAATTGGGTTCTTTTGACCATCTTTCATTGGCTCTATTTGTGTTGATCTCCTCCTGGATAGAGGCACTTCTATTTAATTTAATGTTGTCTCTTACCTGCGTCCTGCTGTCCTTCATTTTTCAGGGTGTCCCTTCCTGGCACTCTTCCTCACTTCCTTACTCACTTAGTTGTACAATTTCATCTTCACACTGGTTTACCTTCTGTTTCGCCATTCTTCTCTCCTCTGTTAGCTTCCAAGTATTTGTATAAAGCCATTCCCTGTCTTGCCACTTCTTTCTTCCTACAGCGGATATACAACTTTTCTTCAGTATCACTTTCAGAGAGTTTCAGAGTTTTGATGACGAGGGTAATCATGGAGAAAGAATAATTGTTCTCTGGTGGATCCTTGCGTTTTGGTGAAGTCTTCCCACTTTTGAACGTAGAGAGTTCTTCCACACTGGTTTCCTTGGTGACGCTACATAGTGTCACTGGTTTCGCTCTAATCGCCTCAGTAAAAGTGTCTTTTGTAGGTTTTCCTTGATTTTCTGGGTATCCAACTTGAAGTGTTATCTATCTCCAGCTGCCTTAAATGCCTTCAGCTTGACTTTGAAGATTCCTTGCACTACATGGTCATCTGAGCCCACATCTACTTCTCTTCGCGATTTTTTGTCCGCTAGACTGCGTCTCCATTTCCTTGTGATTCAAATAAAGTTTAACAGATTTTCGATGTTTCCATCTGGTGAAACACATTTCGATTTGTGAGTATCCTTGTTCTTGGGCACGCTTCCTCTAATCACCAAATCCCTAAAGGCACAGAAGTTTGTGAAGAGTTCGTCGTCCACATTCACTTCACCAAGCAAGTGCCTCTTGGTCCATGATGAATTGTCTTCCTGTGTTGTTTGATCCCCGTTTGACATTTATATCACCCATTAGAATTTTGATATCGCTATCTGGTGTCTTGTCCACTACTGTTTTCAATCGCCTGTGGAAGACTTCCTTCTTCTCCTCTGGGTCTGAGTTGTTTGGATGGATGCAGCTTTCCTGCGTTTTCAGCTGGATCTTACTGTTATTATTCTGTAGGAAATTGATTATCTCTGCATAAGATCTTTCGATGCTGTTGGTGACATCATGATATCCATTCAGTGTGCTTGTGATTGTCGTCCGGGTGACCGGAGTAGATTATTAACTTTCCAGTTAGTGATTTGGAGAATTCACCTCCCTTCCACATGTTCTCACAAATTTCTAGCTCTTCTATACACTATATCCCCATCTTTCTGGCAACCTGAGCGGTCTCACCAGATTCGAATGCTGTGCAAACATCCCACTTCCCCATGCTTATTTTTGCTTTCATCTAAAGAAGACACATCGGCTGACCGAACTTATGAGGGCTTCAATCAACCCTCATCATTTTTCTGTCCAATTCTAGCAAAGAATAACTTCATTTTTCATATTTTTCTTTGGCGTTTTGGCTGATTTCCTCGGTCAGGTTCGCCAGCCCTATGTCCAACCTTCCCTCTTTTTCCTTGTATAGAACTGTGTAGTAAAGTAGTGAACTTGTGTGCTAGGTGAGGTTGAGAAAATATATAACAGTGGAAATTACTTATTTATTATGGCGTACTGATTCGCGTGAATTAGTGTCTTTTGTTTGTTGGTAATCAAATGAACTCCTCCATTATCAACATTATATATATATATATATATATATATACATATATTAGAGGTGTAAATTAAATCTTAGTTTGCATTTTGTAATTTTCATCATCATATGACTCGTTTTATGTTCCCTTCATTTTGTAAAATATTTTATGGATTTAGGTGTCACTTTTATGCCTGAATGAATATAGGAACAGAGATCAGATTTCATAGTAGTATTTCAGTAATTGGACTGGCCATAAATGTCTTGGGTCAAAATGACAGAATAGTCGTTGGTCGAACAAATGAGCGATTTGTCTGACTCGTTTTTCAGCCTTAACATATTTTCAAAGTTGCAGTTTATTCTTTCTCGACCTATTTGTTACGAGATATGTGTAATACAGAGCTGGGTTACATTTGTTTTATAAGTCAGTAGTTTGGCTGGTGAATTATCCAGCACATTGAATTTCATTTTCGAATACTAACACTGTCCTTTACAATGTTTGAATCAAATAGGTAAATGGAATTGATCTCAGTCGTGCTACTCATGAAGAAGCTGTTCGAATACTGCGTAATGCGGGAGATATTGTAAACTTAGTATTGACGCGCCAGCAAGTTCAAGCTTTCGCTGATGACGGCGGTTCAGTCAGTGGTGATTCAACACGTAAATATCAAACAAACTTTGATCGGAAATTCTCGTAAAACGCTTACTATTCAGAAATTGTGTCTACTGATTTCAACTCTCTTGTTGTATAAAGTTTCTGCTTATATATACATACACAAATATATATATATATATATATATTATATATAGAATTGAATAATCGGGTAAAGATTATTTAACAAAGTGATATAATGCATTGGGGTCAAACAAATCCCTGGTTATTAGACGCTTCAGGCTCATTGGTTACTAATTTTGATTTTACCCAAAGACAAGTTTTATTTTCAGCTTAAATTATCATTCCAGTAGACTAAGATGTTGGTGACAAATGCGGCTATTGTAGTATTTTTCTCAAGTGAGGCTTGATAAAAAAGATTATCGAAACAACCTCTAGCCGACAAGGCAAAGTGAAAGAATAGCGACACAACCCAAAGAACGCACCATAGATCTGGAAATGACCAGCTGGTTTCAGAAGGCGAATTCTAGTCTCTTACTAAACCCTAGTCCCTCACTAATCCTAATCAATCCATTATCTAACTACAGCCCTCCTCTTTCCCTAGTCGAACCCTCAACATTTCTAATCTGCCTGTAACTCAACATCAACCTAACCCTTAATTAACCAGATATCACGTTTGATATCCTCATAGTTCTTTCATCATTATTCTACGAATATAGTATCTTTCATCTGGTTTCACTAACATTCTGCGTCTGCGTTTCACGGTCACTAATGTGTTCACTCCCCTGCATCGCTCTAGGACAGGATTCCAGGTGAACATAGAGAAGACGCAAGTGATGAAGATAACCAATGAGCAGCAACAACCATCACCAATCACCATTAAAAGGAAGGATTTAACAGAGGTTACCTCTTTCACTTATCTAGGCGGCCAGCATCATCTCAACTTCAGGCGGAACGAATGAAGATTTACCATTCAGAATTAGAAAGGCAAGATACGCCTTCATAAACCTGAAACCAGTTTGGAAATCTTTTACAATCAGCATGAGGAACGAGATTGGGATTTTCAACACAAATGTCAAGTCAGTCCTTCTGAGTGGGTCAGAAACTTGCACTGCGTGTCAGGAAAAGGATTTCCAACAGCTTGCAAATTTTCATCAACATTTGTCTTCGCTTGCTCCATACTGAAAATTAAATGGCCGCCCGGAAGGAATTAGCGACAAGAAACTGCGGGAACAAACCAACCAAGAGCCGATCGCTCAACAAATATGTAGGATAAAATGGAAATGGATCAGGTATACGTTGAGGAAACCGTTGAATGAAATCGGGTGCTAGGCCATTACTCTAGTGGAATCCATATGGAAAGCGACGCATGGTTCGTCGGTGCGACGGTGACATGGAGGAGACAGTGTGAGGAAAAGATGAGAGATCATGGGCAATCGTGAACCCAACTGAAGAGGATGGCAGAAAACGGAACAAAGTGGAGATGTGTTGTTGAGGCCCTATGTTCCACTCCGTAGAATTCTAACGAACTGACTCCGGATAACTTACATAAATTCACGGAATTTGTAATTTCAATTAATAAGGCTTAGAAATTATTAATCGTTAGATGTTGCCCACACATACGATGACTGATAATATTACCCGTGAATAAACTGAAGAAATATTAACAGTAGAACTCTTTAAAAGCTTTAGCGTGTTTGTTAAATTCCAGAAATGTATTTTAGTGCTCCTCACTTCATTTCTATACACAGGTTGTTTTTAATTCTGATTCACTGTGGTGTATGTGTGCCATTAGTATCATTGATTGTCACTGTTTCTATGTACAGCGTTGTTTCAAGCTTTTAAAATCCAGGACATAAGCAAAAGTGACACTATTTTAATAATGTTATTATTATTAATTAGCTGAGCAGATAATTTCTGATCATGGTAATTAACTATCATTTAATTTTCATTGGTGATAAAACAATTGATTACTGTAACGTTTATCAGCTGACAGGCAATCCAATTAACCACGAATTCTAGCTCCACCACCAGCCGATATCATCAGTATTCTATTGGTTCTAAATGATTATTTAACTGATATCAGTAAGTAATGAAACCTAACATGAAATGAATCTAACTCCTACAAACCAACATTTAAATAGATAAGTCTTGGATCGATGAAGTTTGAATTGCTGAAAATATTTATTGGTGCATTAAAAGAAAATAAAAGGTACAGCAGAAACACTGTCTTACTTGAAGTACACAATAGATTTTGTTTCTTTTAATTTCCGAAAAGTCATTACTCGTCAGCCGAAAATTAAATCTAGCATGAAAAGTAATGTTATTATCGAAAACAAGCATCCTAAATAAAAGAAATTTTCCATGAGAGTTGAGGGAAATGAGTTAATATCAGTGTTATAGATACTAATATTAGTTGTAACTGTTTAGTTTAAAGTTGAAATATCAAAATAGAATGTTGACAATCATGTTTACTCAAGCCGATTGTTTGTCGTTTGACATAGGATGGGTATATGTGTGTTTTTACTTAAAAGTAGTGCGATCTTAAGAAGAAAGAAGGCAACTTTTGCCAAAATAAGTAATAAAATTGCGTCTCCTCTGTTGCTCCAAAAGCTTGACTTGCTGGAAGTAAAATAATCACCATACTAAACTGAATTCTCCTGCATGATCCATTCAGTCTAAAATACCCCACAACGACCAAATGAATCGGCTGTATAGTGCAAGAATTATTGTATCAGTAAAGCGAAGTTTAGTCTCAAATTATATTTGTGTGATGCATCATTAATACGTTCAGCAAAATCATTCGTAGATTAATAGAGCGTTGCATAAATCATCATAGTTAAAAAAGACCCTATACATCCCTAGCTGTTTCAGTATTGATGTAAATATAATTAAATCTGAGTTTCTTTTAGAAATCCATATAACAGATAAAAGTAGAATACTGGATGAAAGTAAAACTAATTTGATCACTAGATATTCAAATCAAATGTAAAGTACTGATGAACCTTTGAAGAAACTAGTTTACTTTTTTCCGAGACAGAGTGCCTTTATACGATGCATTTTATTTGTTATAGTACACTGCATAAATAGTTTTTATTCAAATAAAACTGCATTCAGTTTATTTGACTCACTAGGAAAAGTTACAGTTTTGTCTGTAAATTTTCAATCGAAGTAGGTCTTTACTTGGATTCAAAGGCATTAATCGCTGACCAGATTATAAATGGGGTTGGAAACTAACGAAACAGTTTTTTTTTCCCAAAGGCTGTTAACTCTCCTAGGTCGCTTAGTTAACTAGTTACAGCATCTTGCATGAATTCTTGCTTTCTTCGCTAAACAGTAAATATTGGTTGCTGTCTAGAAGTTAAGAACGGTGAGGTGTATGACGTCATTTAAAAAACACTTTTGTTTTTTTATTAAAGTCAGAAACTGAATCTCATCAACTGAGCTCTGATTAACAGCAGAGAAATATTCTTCAGATCATATAACACTGAATAATAGCTTAACAAGTTTTATTCCCCTAAGGATTACTCAGAGTTTAGTAGTGAACAGAACCGAAGACTGTCTATATAAACGTTGAGTCTTGTTACAAACTGAACGATAAGAAACAGTAATTATGCGCCTACTAAGCCGAGATTTTGTAGGCTGCTGAAGTGGTTATATGAGTTCTGTCCTTTTTAGAAGTGATAATAATTGCATAATTTCAATAATGTCTAGTCGGTGACTTTTTTAGCATTATTTAATAAGTTTCCGAATCTATGGTTAGATTTTCATGGAGTGACATCTGTTTTAGAATTATTTTCTCCGAATTCATAGGTATTTTATATCCTGAAGAATGGGATGACATCTTATCAGACAGCATAAAATTCACTGTTAGTTGGAACTCAGAGGTTGAATAAAAGAGAAATACAAAACAAGCTTAATTTAAGTAAATTAATGAATACCAAGGGAAATCTAGTAAGATCCAAGTGTAAGAATGCATACTGCATAAATTCATTAAAACAATCGGCCCACAGGCTGCGACATTCATTTGTGGGTGTTTGCTCCCACTGTTCAAGTCACCTGAGTAAGCTGAAGATGCACTGACAAGCAGCCGTACCACTCGACAGGCTGAAGTGTTACTTTTTGTTGTCCGGGTGAGATTATCAGTTAAGTATACATCACTGCCCAGCATTACCGACCCCGAAATATATTTTCAGTTTCGCATAACCAAATTGTTGTTCTGTCTTGGCTCACTATCTGCTTTCTGGTCACATTGGAAAAGAAGATTTAAGGGATGCAGAATTATGTACAGGCACTATCATATCACTATAATCTACATGCTCGCCGATATCCTTCAGCTTCTGAGCATGACGTAATTTTAGAGAAGCGTGCCTTGAAAGCAGCCTCGGTGCCATTCCTGGTTAGGAAATTCACCTCCGACATTTGGATACTGTCTACGACAGACTGCGTTCCTACAGCGTAACGATAAAAGCATAGTGTACTTTCCACATCACAAAACTAAACATAGGGCTAAAACTAATGGATCAACTTAAAATTAACTAAATAAACATCTTGGCCACCTGAAGATTTTTTAGGTGTTTAAGGTGCTATGTAACGGGTTCGCGTCTGGTTGTGTTCGAATACTTTTTGCGCTACTTTCTTGCGCTTTTCACAAGCACATTCTCTGAGTCCGTAGTTCTGCCATACTACCCAGATAAGTTCCAATTTTCTACCCTGAATAACGTTAGCTTTTCTACCCAAATATATTTTTCACTAGTACGCAATACTAAATAACTGCGTCTTTCAAAATTGTGTTTTGCCATCAGAACTTAAAAGTCAGGTAGTATAGTGGTTTATGGGTAATTAGGCATACCACGTTTCGTAAAGATGAAAAAGTGCTGCCAATCAGTAGCAACACTAGTATCTTACAAACATTAGGAAATGTCAAATAAGCATGAGATTTCTCGATTTTCTAGGGTGTAACATCTAAAAATACGGTGTAGGCACACTACCCAGCAAAATGGACGCGATTTCGAATTTTGAAATATCATCGCACTTTTAATGGCCTGGTAGGTCTCGTTTATTATAACTGGGTCCTTTCG